GTGGATGTTTATACAGTGGACGCCCACACCCACCCATCCATTCACATCCACACCCGCACACACCTACACCCACCCACACCCACTCACACGTGCACCCACACCCTTCAGTTCACCAATTCAACCAATCACATCGATATCTAATTTCCCGTACTCACATCCACATACTTACAGGCCACATCGACTCCCACACTCACCCACAGCTTCATACTCCACCCACACTATGCACACTATCTACACCCATCTACACGTGCTTTTCCGGAGTACTAAATCATGAAAAAAGGATCGACTTTATTGTGTACATACACACGGGTATAAGTAGAGAGTCTTCGGAGGCGTTACGTGCTCCCACGCTATCGCGCAGATGCAAAAGATTATTTCCAGAGGAAAATTTTATTTTAATTCTTGAGTAATTGGATTCTATTTTCAAGTTCTTACATGAGGCGGATTGTGACATATAGAAAGATCGAAAAAAACAAGTGTACAGAAAGAAACGTAAAAATGACTTATCGATTCGAAAGCATATAAAAAGAACGTAAAACGGACGTAAAAATGACGTGTAAATTCGGAAGTCAAACAAAGGGCATAAAGAATTTGGTATATAAACTCAGATTTGCAGAAAAGAGTGTCATAACTAAACTGTGATTTTATTTGGAATTTAACCGTTTTTTAAAGTGTTCTCTCAGGTAATATTTGTTATTTTTTTATCCATATTCGCAGAGAGATAACAAAATGAATTATATAAGTCTCTCAGTCACCCGTCGACCCATTCTCTCATTCACAGCCATCTTGCTTTCTTTAACCGTCCATTTATACGCAACTATCCATCATCTCATATTCAGCTAACCATTCTCAAACTACCCACGTAAAAAAATTGGACGAATAATCAGATTAATATCGATTATAATATGACTGAAAATCGATTATAAACATACAGCTTTAATCGATTGTAATCGATTAAGGGTACACCCTCCCTCTTTTTCGATCAAAAACTCGATTTCGAGTTGAGCATAGGATACCATAGGCTCAAGTGTTGTGTACAATTAGTTACATTAAGCGGCTCGGAATACCTTACTACTACAGAGTTACTAGATTAAACAAATTTTTTTTTCATAGTAATCATAAGGAAATTTTTTTCTTTCCCTTAGTGTATCTCAAAATCACGATTTTCTCAATCTTGACACATTACGACCCTCCTTAAATTTTGTCTGATCGGACTGAAATGTTTACCACTAATACTTGAGAGTATTCTCCAGAGGTAAAATCGAGCGTTTTCATTTTTGACATTCCTATCCGAAGTTACAGAGCCCTGAAAGGCAAGACCTAAGTGTCATTTCGAGATCTTGACGTATTTTTCTTATAAAAAAAAAGAAAGTGAGATTCTTGAAAAAGCTCAAAACTACCTCTGACATATAAGCATAGGAACCTGCAAAAAAATTTTCAGCTGCTTTTGACAAAATTTAATAGGGGTTTTCCTGAACAAGATGGAAAACCAAAGGTTTTCTAAAAAACCGCCAAACCCTCTGGGAAAAATTTTTCCTCGAACACGTGTCTGGTCATTTCAGGTGTTCTATTTCGGGTAAAAATATCAGCTTGATCGGTCGCACCAACTGCGAGATCTGGAAATCATCAAAAAGAGGGGGAGGGTACCCTTAAAGGTGTATGATTATAATGGACTTTAATCTGATTATTCGTCGAATTTTTTTACATGGGCATCATCCACACTCACACGCACATATGCTAGCGGAAATCTTCTGTTATGAAAGCAGAAAAATCTCTGGAGACACCTGTAAATGTCTTGATTGCAGTTCTCATATTAACACTCTCACACGCATTCAGAACACCAAAATGCCACTTTTATTATGAATAATGGGTGAAAATGCTTTAAAAGACATTTTGTTTTCATTTGAAAAATGTTCAAAAATATTCCTCACTACATTTTTGACAAATTGCATGCATAGAAATATGGGCTTTATTCGGAGGAAAAAACGTCAAAACGTTATTGAAGAAAACTCTGCACATTCTCCACATACCAGCGTTGCATTTTTAACTCTCATCGTCCACCTGAAGCCCACCTAGATCCCAACTTATTTCATTTTCATATTATCCGGCCATAACATACGAGCATATCATTGCTGTCTGGATATGGTATAGTTAAGTGCAGTAGGACATATCGAGAGAGCCATGATATGATCTAATGGTATGACAGAATAACGTTAAGATGAAATACAGTGGGATCCAGGCGGACCCCAGGTGGGCGGATTAGAGTTAAGTGTGTTCATTAACAGTTTACGATGAAAGCGGCAGTTTTTTGCACTTTGTAAATGAACGTGAAAGTACTCGAACGAAAACTGCGATCAAGGCATTTGAATGCGTTTTCTAGAATTCTTATCCACTTGGATGGCTGTCACTCACACCCGCAAGTTTCACCAATATATCAGAAGGAGCATCTGAATCAAAGATTCATTCTTTCAAGTAGACGAACTTATTTGGGCAATTGCAAGAGATAGTGAAAGCAAAACGATTCTTACGTGGAATGTGTTTATTAGCACAGTATTTGCTAAAAAATTCTTTTTCAATGCTTTCGCGCAACCCCAATTTTTGTTGAATCCGTATTTTTTTCTCGCTAATTTTCAATGTTGAAAGAGGCAAAGTTTGAACAGCTTTTTACCCAGAACTTGAGTTTTATTTCTTCTGACAGGAAAGAAAAAAATCACAAAAAAAACAAACCTCACATGCGACAGATTTTACTCTTTTTCAGATCTCTACGGACAAATGGTATGTAAAAAGGTAATTTAAAATTTGCAGACAGTATCGAAAACAAGAAGCAACTACTAACTATAGAGCTGAAAATAGACAATATGGAAGAAGAAAAATGTAGCATTTGTCAAGAGGTATTGAATAGTGATGATTCTGCTCTGATAACGACGGCGTGCAGGCATAAATTTCATTTTAATTGTTTAATCAAAAGCATTACAGCTGATAATAAACAATGTCCAATTTGTCGCCGACTTTTGAATATTATCCATCAATATCCATGTCCATCTGCCCCATCAAATGGACAACAATCCGAAGATGACGTAAGTTTCGATTATAAATAAAGATCTTCACAAACGAACAAAAATGTTTGACCTATGTTACTTCATAGTGTCCATATTTTAGGATCGGGTATATTGGGGTATGGAGGTGGGTGTGAGTGAAGTACGGATGAGTTTACGCCCACTCTCACATCATTTTCAGATTCGACAAAACTTAACCCGAAAAGCCACTTGAAACTGCATTATTTTGTTTCAATGGTACCGTGATAGGTTGCAAAGACGAGAGAATATTTTTTGCAAAAAGTGATTGTTCGAATCTGTAAGATTTTTTAGAAGATTTAATCATGTTGTAAAAATACAAGCTACAAATGAAACTTATTCAACAATTTCATGTAAAACTCAATCAGGTTAACAGAATAGCTGTTCGCTCATTTCTATAAGGTAATTCGCTCTAGAAGCTGGAAGTACATGTGTAATTATCACATTACAGTCCAATTAGAAGCCGATCGATATGTTCTTTATCAACAAAAGAGTCTAATCTCAGGATAAAAACTTGAATTGTACATAACTGATATTTTAACGGGAATGCAATACTTTTGCTATCCAAGTTAGGACTTAAAAAGTATTATTTTTTATATTTTTTTCAGCCAAAAAAAATGAAAAAATGCGATAACACATCAGTAGTTGACACAGTAATTGGCTCATTGGGAAATTGGTCGTGTGACTTATGCACATTAGAAAATTCTCCGCTATCTCTGGAATGCGAAGTATGTTATCATCCTCGTCCTGCACCGAGGAGTTACAAAAGAGAACAGATGCCGGATTCTACCGGTACTTGTCCTATTGTCTATCCAAAACAATTGCCAGAAACTCATACTCCAGACACTCAATCACCTGAAGGGGTATGTCCAGAACGCGATGTTAGTATCTCCTCCACATGGGACTGTTTATCTTGTACATATATAAACATTAGTGACCTTGCAGTCTGTGCAATGGGTAACACTCAACGGACACATCAATCCACGATGCCCGCTCACATGGTTGAACCAGGTCAACAGAATAATGATTTGAAGCCCATGCCAGCAGTCGATCCTTTTCCTGTTGTGAAGCCACCGGCGATAAAAATTGGAAAGCTCTACGAAAACCCAGAATCAATAGCGAAAACTATTGGACTCGAACGTAAAGAAGAAGCTTCGATCTACATTTGTGATCTACCAGCTGACGTAGGTGATACACAATTAGAACAAATGATTCGACAGCGTCTCAAGAGCTTTTACAACATCCATGTACTCAAATTGAAGTTTTATTCCCGTATCGAAATTGCCATAGCATGGGTACCGAGCGAAGCTGAGAAATACCAGCTTCTCGAAATAGAAGAAACGATCCTCACTGATCATCCAGCAAAACCGCGTATTTCATTTGTTAAAGAACTCGAACTCGTTTCGTACTTAGCTTTTGATTCAACGGAAAAATTCACCGGATCCGAAAATGAAATCGCATCTCTATGGGAGAGCCGGTATAAATCAAGTCAAAAGCCTAGATGTGAGCAAGTTTCCATGTTATTTCCAAATATATTCAAAATTATCTCTTCATCTATTGACGAGCTTCTGGCGGCTGAAGCTAGCGGTCCATTTGTATTCAACAGACGCTTTGCCAAAATTTATTTGAGAGCGGAATGCAGTTTTTTCGAAAATTTACCTCAAGATATCACCACAGATCATATTTCCAAAGTAGTTACGGCACAGATTGGTAAGCAGCAGGATAAAGGATCACTCTACATCCAGTACAATCAAGAAGCATCGTGCGCTATCGTACTTGCTGCCAAAAATTATCATAAATGGGCGAATGTCAGTTATATCGTTTATAAAGATCAAGTTTACAACAAAAAAACCGAATTGACTTTTCGGGTTGTTCTCAATCCAATTCCTCGTTCTATATCTATTGAGCTCATCGTAAAACACCCAATATTTAAGAATGCTGTCACTAACTACAAGGTGATCGGTGACCATGCTATTGTTCACCTCCAGGACAAATCGGTGTATGATGCATGTTTAACTCATCAGGGATTGATTGTACAAAATCATCAAATTTGCATTGATCCATACACAGTCATCGTTGACAATCCAGAAAATAGTGAGATCAATGCTCGAACCTGGTACGAAACAAAAATGCAGGGTCTCAAGCCTGATATTATGCAATTCGTAGTGAATCCAAACCATGAGATTTTCAAGTATAAATGGAATCCTCAAATTTGGCTCGACCACTTTACGAGTGTCAGTGGGATAAATAATCGGGAAAGTGACACCAAAAGACGTTTGTTGCGTAATACGGCAATGCTCAACAGCATTGGTATAGTTCGCAAGAAAATTTATACTTTAGGAGATGGAAAAAATAAAAAAGAAATCAAGTTGAGTACTAAACCAATATATACCGTTATCTACACTCACAAATCGAAGTTGACCTTACAACGAGTAACAAACACTCCGATTAGCTCTCCACTCTCCTTGACTGAAGTAAAAGTCGTTGAAGATGACTGTTTATATGTTTATGCGACACTCACAGCAGAGGGATATCGTCCAGTATTGCTCAACATGGCCAATGCTGAAACGTCTGGTGGCGGATATCGACATGGAGCTGCAGCTCAAGAAGAAAACCTGTTTCGACGATCGGACATTTATCTCAGCCTTGACGCAGAACTCGATGACACGCATAGAACTAAGCGGTATTGGTGCACAAATGATGCCAAGGAAAAGTTATTAGAAGCAAATGATAAAATATACCCAATACAAGAGTTTGGTGCGATCTATATATCAGGTATCACTGTGTTTCGTGATGTGGAAGACAAGGGCTATGCTCTTCTTGAAGACCCTCTTTACAATGTCAATGTTATAGCTTTGCCTGCTTACCAGCAGCCAGAGCTAAAACACAATAATGAGGTGCTACTTACAGGAAAATATGCCGCCGGTACACGAAAGAAAATTGAAAACTTTTTTGCTATTGCTCATAAACATGGGCATGATAGTCTCATTCTATCAGCGTTTGGCTGTGGTGCATTCAAGAATCCACCTTTTCATATAGCTTTGCTATTCAAGTCGGTCATCGAGCAGTATGCTGGATACTTCAAAACAATCTACTTTGCCATTATCGACGATCACAACACGGGTAATCGACTAAATCGCAATGGAAACTATAAGCCATTCAAGGATATATTAGATGGACTCAATGTGCCAGCTTCAAGTAAACAACTGGATGTCAATATGGCCACAGGACCTTTCCGAGTCATCGGTAAAGATCATGTTAAGATGACTATTGGCGAAGTATCCATTTTCGGTTTAAACCCATGCCAATATGGAGCTGAATGTAATGACTTGGACGATGAACAACATTGTCGTTCTTATTCACATCCACCATTATGTCATCAATCCGATTCATGCGATCAAGTGAAAAAAGATGAAGTGCATAAAAACTTCTTTATCCACCGCACCAAATGTCAATATGGTGGTCAATGCAAACAGATCAAAGACGAAAAGCATCTACGCCAATATGACCATCCCGAATATTGTCCTCAAGCTAGTGGTTGTACAGATATGAGTAAAACCCATTTAAAGAACTTTTGCCATTTACCACTTTGCAAGGATGGTGGTCCAAATAAGTGTGCATTGTTTCGTAAGAGTGATCTTGAACATTGTCGTTCCTTTCGTCATTGTAACCCCATATGTCCTTTTGGTGGTAATTGTGTCCAGTATCATGTTGAAGATCATTTTAAAAACCATTCACATCCGTTTAAAACACCTTGTCCCCGGACGCCATTTTCGTGCCAATACCATGTCGAGTTTTTACAAGCGAAGGAAGAACCTGCTGCAACATTCAGAAAAGTCGTCGAAGATCATTGTAGTGAATTCTCACATGTTTGTCCATTTGGACGAGAATGCACTGATACAACAAAACACCATGCCTCTGTTTCGATTCACATTGCACGAATAGTTTGTCCGCAGTTAGATCAGTGTTCAATGATAACAGACGAAGAACATTTAAATTCGTTTTCTCATCCCGGCGTGCATGACATTCGTTATTTATGTAAATATCCAAGATTCAAATGTCGAGATCGATCGAATAATAAACACATGAAACGTTATCGCCACACTGGTAATTATGATCACTTCGGTGTGGCACACTATACTGGTCTCAATAAACGCATCGATTTTGTACGAAATCAAGAGGAAATCACAAAAGCAGTTCACACCTATATTAAATCAGAAAATTGGAGACACTCGAACAATGCCATTCCGGAAGAAATTACTAATTGGATTCGGGCATTGCCGCCTGTTCATCGGTGCAGCAAAGCTATTTTTGAATCAATTCTTGTTCATGGAAATGTTATGAGTAGAGATTATATGAATCAATTGTGTAATCCACCATTTGTGGTTAATGCTGTTGAGCAGAATGATAAAATACGAACGATATTAGCTCCACAAAATTCTGTAGCACTTCGAAGTCATGCTCACGAGTTCATTGAAGTGCTAGTGACCATCGAATTTTATAGAGCTGATCCCAGTAAATCAGCTTACTTAGTAAACGATGAGCAAGTAAATAAAATCAAAATAAAAGAAGCACAATTGTCAGGCTTTCTGAAATCAGACGAAATACAAATCATTCGATCATGTGCCATAGAAATTGCCCGAGCTTCTTTGAAACTGAATAATAATCCAATGGGAATCGCATTTCCGCCTGATATTGAGCTTGGCACAAATAAACATGTCTTTAGCGTATTGGGACCCAATCGGGGGTATTACTACGGCGATGTTTTTATTATTTTTAAACGTGAGATTATGCATCACCCAGATGCTAATTTTTCCATCCAAGCTGCCACCACATACGGCCAAAGCACCAATGCATACAGATTTAGGCCCTGGTTAAAGGATCCGGGCACTCCTCAAGATCGTATAGGTGACTTTCATCGATCAAAATTGCACTGTTCAATACCAGGTTATGATAATGCGGCTGCTATAGAACTTGTGGCATTGAGTGGGCTAGAGAAAAAGACATTGAATGTAAATCTCAGCGATATTCAAAAACGATGGATGTCCGTAGACGCACATCTTGTATTCGAAGCTCATTTACCACAGCTGATACCTTTGAACTACATCGATTGTGTCTACATACCTAAAAATTTATTCCAATCAATGACACCATTTGCTCAAGAAGTAGCCAAAAGCATTTTTGGTGATCGTCTTATTCTTGCACCATTCAATGTTAATCTTGGAATTGAGAAATCTATGGATCCTACTCGCATACCTTATGAAAAATTTGTAATTGATGAGATCGCGAAAAAAATCACCCAGAATCACTCATATTCACCTTTTGGTACTCTTATCACCTTCCCAGCTCACAAATTTGAGCAACATGTTTGTATGCCAATTACTATTTCCCAATCATATCGACAACATCAGCGCCATGAAAGCCAAAGTGATACTATATACATTTACTTGCAAGCAATGGGTGGTGATATGATGCTGACTCTCTCTAATAAGTCAGTTGATCTGAAGGACAAACAGTCAAATCTTGCCTGTTTGATCTGCTACATCGCCGAAAAGCCAACAAAGCAAGCTGATGATACCTATCGTGAATCCTGTTCGTACATCACATGTGGTCTTCCATATCATCATGATAAGATCGTGAACCATCGCTCCGACATGAAAGCTATGTCATCTTCGTTCCATCGTGGTTGCAACACTGATGACTTCATCATTTATTGTCTTGAGATTAAACCACAAACGGGTAAAGTTATACTGAAACATGCTGGTTCGAATAATATTTACAGTCATCAGAAAATTGCTTATACATTCCAACGATCTGAACTTGACTTGTCCTCACTTGAATATGTCCACTTC